CCCCCCAAAGAGGACCCGAAGGGGACCCCCAAGGGGGCCCCCAAGGAGGAGACAAAGGGGACCCCCAGGGGGCCCCCCAAGGAGGAGACGAAGGGGGGGGGCCCCCAGGGGGCCCCCAAGGAGATACCGAAGTTGAAACATAAGGATAGCCTAAAAGAGGGTACTAAAGGGGACCCTGAAGGGGCCCCCAAGGAGACCCCCAGGGGGGGGAGGCTGAGGAGCCCCAGGGGGCCCCTCAGGCAAGGGTCTAGGGGGCCCCCCAAGAAGGGTTTCCGCCGCAGCGGTGCTTCTCTATCAATAGACGAAGACACACAGAGTACTTCTTCTGCTTCGACCACTGCAGCAGCAGCAGCAGCAGCAGCAGCAGCAGATACAGCCAGAGACACACACACAAGCGATGATGATGAGGGCCCCACCAGCGGCACCTCTACCCCCCCAGCAGAGCAGTCGGGGCTCACCAGCTGGCTGGGGGGTTGGTTCTAAGTACCCTCCAGCAGGGGGGCCCCATGTTTAGCTTTGGGGGCCCCCCTGCCCCCCACCCTTTTTCCTCTCTAGGGGCCCCTGGGGGGGTGAGGGTGGGGGCCTCCAGTTAGGGTTTGGAGGCCCCCCGCTCCCCCCATCGCTTTGCCTCTCGAGGGGCCCCCAGGGGCTTCTTGGGGCCCCCAGGGCCCCCTGGGGGCCCCCGGAGGCCCCTGGAGGCCTTTGGGGGCCCCGAGAGGCCCCTGGGGGCCCCGAGAGGCCCATGGGGGCCCCTGGAGGCGCCTCGGTGCCCCCCTAGGACAGGTTTAGCTGTGGGTACCGCCCCCAGCAATTAGAATAGTTGAGGGGGGCCCCTCTTCCTTACGGGGGCCCCCTTCCTCTCCCCCTTAGACACGAGGGGGCCCCCTAGGGTACAGGGGTACCTTGAGGGGCCCCCCACTCGTTTCAATGCAGCGCTAGACAAGGGTACTGTCTCTGTGAGGGTACAGGGGGCCCCTAGAGGACCCTTATCTATGGGGCCCCCAACAACCCTAACTAGGGGGCCCCCGTACCACCCCTACCTAGAGGGGGGCCCCTACGCTCCTTACTTAGCTGGAGGCCCCCTAACTACAGCAACTAGGGGCCCCCTGAGATTGGCTTGGTGGGGGCCCCAGTAGTTTATTACAACGGGGGGCCCCCCTTGATGTTATGCATTAGGGGGGCACCCCGAAAGTACAGTATCTCCGCTTGTTGCCTCTATATATAATTGTGTCTCCTCATGTAGTTTTGTCTCTCCTTATACATATATATATATATATATATATATATA